TGGAATTTTAATGATAGATTTTTGTTCCAATCTGTCTGAGTAACCACTATAGTGTTATAGTGGTTAGTTTTATGAATCAGACAATTCAATACTTGGATAACAGGGAGTATGATGACAGCCATAAGCCTTTCTATAGAATTCTAGGATCTATTGTGGTAAGATTTTTTTGCTTTATAAAAAGTAAATAAGACTACTATTAAAGTAAATGAATATGTATTAAAAGTATACATTATAATGTTTGTGAAAAAATTAGATAAAATATAAAATAAAATATGTACTAATTTAAGTAAATAATATTCTTATGAAAATAAAATAATATATATTAAAAGTATACATTATTTTACCTATAAAAACTTAATATAAAATATAAAGTAAAAGTTGTTCTGATTAAAGTAAATCATATATTTATTAAAGTAATTTAAACTATAAATTTGTATTACTTATATATTGCTTTACAAATGTTATAGGTGGAGGAAATGTCTAACTTTCTGAAGAGAATTAATCATGAAAAATATAATGAAATACAAGAATATGAGTTTGATGAAGTAAACTTCAAGTCGAAGACACCAAGATATACTCATGATTATGGTGTTTTTTCAATGATACAAATGATGTGTTTTTCTAGAGACACTTTTGATTCTGACCTTGATTTAGCAAATAGGAGAAAAGTGTATTGTGTAGAAATATGTGCTGCTCTTTCTTTGGCAGACATAAACACCAGAAGAAAACAACTTATGGGAAAAATTTCAAGGTTCAGGGTAGTTAGGAAACTAGATAAGGGGAAAAGGGTGGAAGATATGATATGTGTTTCTGATTTCTTGAAAAAACACAAGGAAGTAATGGATAACATGAGTTTGACATGTCACCAAGTGATTGACTACTTAGCAATCAATGATGATGAAAATTTCCAAACAAGAGGTATGTTTTATACTTGCTAAAAACAAATACTCATATTGTTTTATATATAAAATTGTTTGCCATAAGTATAACTTTAATTTTAATTCAAAATTACAGCGAAGTAGTTGGATGGTTTATAGATTCAATTGAAATAGTAAGTCAAGATTGTAACGCTTTGCTCAAAGAATGGAAAGTTTCATGTAATATGATCATTGCTTGGTCAAACCACCTCAATAACATTGAAATGCAAAAACACAGGTCTGAAAATGACTTGGTCAGATTCTTCTTTGGATACGAGTTCATGGTAATTTTTTCTGATTTAATTTTATAACTTAAAATTATGCATTAAATAAATATCAGAAATAATCTTTGAATTTTTTTTTAGGATGCTTTAACAATGTGTTTGAATGGTCATGGGAAAAAAGGAGTGACAAGTCAGCAAACACTATGGATTGGTTGGAACAGTTCACAATCAATGGACTTGGATGCAGCTCAATGTGTAAGACAAAATTAATTTTTAAAGTAGAATAATATATGTTTAAAGTAATTATAAAATAGGTTTAAAGTAAATATGTGTAAAACAAACCTTTGTGCAGGTATATATACCTTTAAAGATGGAAGATCATTATTTTCTTGCTGTTATAAATTTCAAAGATGAAACAATTGATTATCTGAACAACACTTTGTACGAGACCAATGAAAAATATGACCCTGTACAGAGTTTTATCTTAGAAACGGTAAAATATCAATAGATTAAAAAAGTGTCTTTGAATTCATTTTTCAATATTCATTGAATTGCATGTGATACAATTACAGAAATTGCTTAAAAAAAAAGAAAGCATCCACAAGCAAATGATATGATGTTCTACAAGTTGAGAATAATTGAACTACCATTCCAAAAAGAAAAAGAAGATAATTTCTCAGCAAGCTAGCTACTACCGCATATGAAGGTTTATAATGGAGCAAATGGGATAAGATTAGGAACAATAAAAGAGGTAAGTTAGCATACTTAATTTTGAAGTCCTTGAACTCTATACTTATTTAGTAATTTATTTAAACTAAAGTTATTCTTTTAATTCTTTTTTACAGGAATTTCCAAGAGTGGATCACCATAACATAAGAATAGTGCTTAACCTACTTCTTAATGATAAGAATCAAATGAAACAAACACTACTTACAAATTTTGAGAATTGAAGAGAGAAAAAAGCATCTGAACAATTATAAATGACATCAGTAGATTTGAATATATCATAGACATTATAATATATCAGTAGTTTTTAGTAGTTTGTTTGTATGAAGAATACATATTATATCCATTAATTAAATTACTAGTATTGTTCTTTGACAAAAATGGTGGTAGATGTAAAAGTAGAAGAAATCAATCACAAAGTAAATGAAAATAGTGTTAAAGTAAATAACACTATGTTTAAAGTAAAAGAAAAGAGTTTTATAAAAATAAAAACCTTTCTGAAATATGGTGTACGGTTTTAAAGTAAACAAAAAAACAGTTAACTAATAAAAATGGATCTAAATTAGAGGTGGAGATAGGAAAAAGTATTAAAGTTAAAACAAGAAAAAATTTCAAGTAAAAAACATGTTATTCGATTATAAGTGAATGAAAATAGTGTTAAAGTAAATAACACTATATTTAAAGTAAAAGCAAAAAAGTTCTAAAAAAAACTTTCTAAAATATGGTTTTCAATTTTAAAGGAATGAAAAATATTGTTAAAGTAATAGAAAATGGATCTAAAGTAGAGGTGGAAATTGGACTCAAAAACATGTAATTTGATTATAAGTAAAGGGAATTAATTCGATTATAAGGGCGGAGCGGAGCGGATATTGGTCTTTCAATCCCCATCCCCTTCCCCACAATGCCACAACGGGTACAATATTTTAATTCACATAATTCTTTTATTAAATAGTATAAAACTATATAAATTTTCATTTGAAGATATATATGTGGGTATGAGTTGGGGATAGGGCGAGTACAAAGTGGAACATGTAGGGTAAGGCAAGGATGGGGCGGGTATAACTTAAAATACATCAATCCCCGCCCCACTACTCGCCAAACCGAGACCCATCCCCACCAAACTATGGATCAGTCTAGTCTCCTACTTGACATGCCCCACATCCAAGGGTGGAGCTAATTGTGAAGGTGGTAGTTAAATGCTTTGTCACACTAAAGAAAATACAAATTTTTAAAATATTGTTGTTTGGAAGGTCATGCACTACACTATTTCAGCAAGAACGAGTTTGGTTTGGGTTAAGTAAGAATGGGTCGTATCTATCCAAGTTAGGTTAACAGGAATTAATACTGTAACCTATGTTGATCAAACACAGATTGGGTCATGCTTGAGTTAAATTATAACCGGCCTTACATCTTATTAGGTTTGGTACAGGATTAGGTGAGTTTAATACCAGGTCAAGTTACATTTAAGTCAAGTAAATAATTAGGGAGTTAAGGAATTAAGTCAATCTAGAATTTTAGACGAATTTGGTTCAAGTCAATATTTTACGACTTATAATCAAGTTGAAGTCCTCAAGTTAATAATCTTTTGTTTACATTTAGGTCAGGTCATCTACACGTCAATTCATGTTCGAGATCAGGTCTCAAATACTCTTGTAAATGTGACAAGTATTTTAGAACAAATCATGGAAATGGAAAAAATTATTCTAGGACAAAAGGAGTTATACAAGATATTATCTTTAATTTTTTAAATAAAGACATTATATGTATCAAATAATTCATATGATATAAAAGTAAACAGAAATTGTCATAAAGTTAATGTATAATAGCTAAAAGTAAATAAACTGAACTTAAGTTTCTGTAGTAAAATTACTTATAATCAAAATGTAAAAATATTACAATAATAAAAATAATAAAAAAAAATTCTTCATTAAATCTTGATCTTGATTTTCCAAAACATCCTCTAATTTTCAAGTATTATAATAACTGCAAAAAAATAAACATCATTTATTTGTGAGAAATTAAAGTAAATAAATTAGATTGTAAAGTAAATAAAGTGCAACTTTTTTTTTTGAATAGCAAAAATATTTCATTAATTAAAAGTCAAACGACATCTACAATAGAGATTCGACGTTAAAAAATACATAAGATATTGAATCAAATAGAATTTTCTTTCATAAAAGCTACAGGCGTCGAGTAGATCTTGCACTGCGGAGCATCTCCAGCTTATATCGCTGAAAATTACAGTCTTGTTGGAGAGACAATCTAACGATCCTTTGTAGCCATGAGGATGTTTTACTTCTGATTCATCTGTTCGTATTCGGAAACTTGATAACTTTTTCACCAACGAAATAATTTAACAACAATCCATTAGATCTGCTACCATGAATTCAAAACTAAGAAATTTCTCCCTCGAAAAGAGGAGATAAACCTTGTCTTTCGAAGGAGGTCGAAAAACCCTTGTCTTTCGAAGGAGATCGAAAACCCTTTCTTTCGAGGGAAAAAAGTTCCTCCCAAAAGGAGGAAGCATTATGATAAACCTAAAAAAAACAATAAAGAAACAAGGATTGGGGCTTTCCATCGATTAAAATTGATGGAAGCCCCTTCAAAATTCAACAATGGAGGCTAGGGTTTTGGTGAGAGAAAGGAGGAAAAAATGGGCTGAACTTAATTACGCTTTTGTGATCATCACAATTAAATAAAGTGCAACTTAAAGTAAATAGGAAAAGTAAAAAATACCAAATAACAAAAGTATCAAGTATAATAATACCTGCACAAAATAAAAAGTAAATGAAGATAAGGTTAAAGTAAATAACTAGAAGTTTACAGTAAATTAAACACATTTAAAAGTAAAATACTTGAAAAATTACTTATTTGGACATTTATTAAGTATTATAATACCTGCAAAAAATAAAAAGTAAATGAAGTTAAGGTTAAAGTAAATAAATTGAATTTTAAAGTAAATTGAATACATTTAAAAGTAAAATACCTGGAAAAATTACTTGTTTGCACAATTTCTACTGTCATGGGAAACACCAAATTGCCAACAAGCTCTACAGGTTCTGCCCTTTTTTTATTTTTGTTCAGTAGCTATTTCTTTTACACTCTTCAACCGGTTTGAACTTCTGGCAGAACCTTATTTAAGACACTGATTTTGACGCAAGATATTTACATCTACTTCATTTGACCCAACCAAAACCTGAATATCAGCATCTTTCACCTCTTTTGAACTAGGTGCATTTTCAGGATTATTCTTTGATATCATCTACTCCTCAAATGAAGATAATGTCCTAATAAGCTCAGATAAATTATCCTCAGATTGGTCAGTTAAACTCACACAACTGAAAAATCTTGGACCATACATCACTGACCAATTGCTTCTTCTTATAATACTTAGAAGCGTCATCCAGAGCAGCATTTGTGACATAAGCTTTCTTTAGAACATCTTTTCTCCAACGATTCAAGATATAAGAATCGGGAATTTCACGTATACACTTGTCTTTCATAACAAACAGAATGTGTCTACATAAAATGCCTTGACTCTCAAACATTCTACAAGTACAACTTGACTCATATGTGGCCAAGTCAAAAGTTACATCAAAATTTTTACTTTTTTCATGAACAATAATAACAGAAAACTCCACACCATCTCCATATAGAGAACTACAACTTTCAACACCACATGAAAAACAGGCTCCCTCACATTCTTCTTGAAAATCATAAAATATGGCATGATTATGAACAACTGTAGCGTGCTTTTCCAAGTGTAAATGAGTAACCAATTGAGGCTCAAGTTTGTTAAGCCTGATCAAATCATCCTGTTCATGCCTTTGAGCATCAAGAGCTGTTTCATAACGGACAAGTCACATGAGGGCTTGTAAAATTACAAAAGAAACTGTTTTCACCTTCAGGCCTAGAAGTAGAATGCAGTAAACCACCCATATATAAGTCCCTAAAATATGTACGAATCCAAAGATGTTTAATTTTGAACATGTATGCAAACCACTCATGATCGATAAGGTCAAACTCCTCCATTACACTATTCCATCCATCAACAAATACATGAAGATCAATTTCTCTATCCCAAACTACTGCACTTACACTATTCCATCCATCAACAAATACAAGAGGATCAATTTCTCTATCCTATACTACTGCACTTATTTTTTTTCAGGAAATCAGTTTCATTACAAAAAGCAGTTCCAACCTTTTCAGGTACCTTCCTCATTATGTGCCACATACATAGCCTATGTTTGGTCTTAGTAAAAATCTAATCTATGGCAATACCCATTGCAGGATCTTGATTAGTGATAATACAAGAGGGTTCTCTTCCCATGCACTTCAAAAAAGTTTGAAACAACCACATAAAAGATTCTGTCTTCTTTAGATAATAGAGCAGCACAAAATGTAACACATCTCTTGTGATTATTAACACCAGTAAAAGGACAGAAAACCAATGAATATTTATTTGTATCATAGGTAGAATCAAAAGATAATGAGTCCCCAAATAATTGATAATCTCTTCTACCAATAGCATCAGCCTAAAATACACAGGTCAAATGCCTGATTTCATAAACACAGTACTCAAAATAATAATCCCCTTTACTGGTTTTCACTATTTGTTCTAGGTTCTGAACAAACATCGCACCATGAGCATTAGAGATATAAACTTTCATGTCCCTAGAAAATTTTTTGAAATAATTTTTACTGCCCCAGACATTTTCAACCCCACCATAAAGTTCTTTCATGATCCTATACAACATAACAACCCCTATATTTAACTTTGAGTTGTCAAAAATAAACTTCTTATGAGAAAATTTTTAATCTAACTTCATGTTTAGTAACCTGCCTAGTAATAGGTGTAGAAAAAGGATGAGAATGATATTCATAAAAACAATAAAGCATATACTTCCCACCAGTACAAAACCTAAATTTTATCTTAGCAGGACAACCAACTCTCTTCACAGTCTTTCTCTTTAAACAAGAACCTTCAACTTGTTTACCAGATTTCTTGTTATTTGTCACATACCCTTCTTTGATACATAATAAATATTTAATTTTAGTAACTCCTTTACGAGTAGGTTCATCTTTATTCTTTTGTGCTTTAGTAGTATTAGAGAAGACATTAAACCCACACTCATTAGCATATTTATAATAAAAGGCAATACCATCTTGAAGAGTATCAAATATCATTCCAACAAAGGTTTGTTTTCCAAAGAACAACCTACTATATACTCTTTATCACCTCCAAAATTATAATATATTTTAGGAAGCAAAAGCTGAGTGGGTGTTTTGAAAATTCTTACATTTTATCTTCAATAGTGACAGAAGAAGAAAAATGCTCTAAACTTTCAGACATGTTCCTGAAAAGAAAATGAATCGAAGGAAAAAGTAAACAAATAATAAATAAAAGTAAATAAACTATAACTAAAAGTAAACAAATTTTTTTAAAAAACAAGCTAATAAAAACTATTAGAGATATATTAAAAAGTAAATGACTCAGAGCATAAAGTAAAAAAATTAAAAAACTTGTAGAAACTAAATAACATAAGTTATTAGAATATGCAAAAAACATCTACAATGAATTTCGTAAGTGTAAAACAACAACAAATTATACAACTTCATTAATAACTGCAACAAATAAAGCAACTATATGAACAAAACATCTACAATGAATTTTGTATATGCAAAACCATAAAATAGAAATTTAAAGCCAAAATCGTGAAAATAAACACACAAAATAAAACACTAAATGGTATAAAATAATTCAAAGAACAATTAATAAGTAAAAATTGATGAAAAAAATTAAGATAAAAAACACTAAATAGGAGAACACGTAATAAGAAAATTACCTCAATTTCCAAAATTAATAAAAATTAAGATAAAAAAACACAAAATAGGAAAACACGTAATAATCAGCCATGATATGAAATCAAAATAAAAAAACGAAAATACAAATATAATTCAAAAATTACAACAATGAATGAAAAAAATCGAAGAATGCGATGTATTTGAAGGTGAAAATCGAAAAATCTGGGAAAAAAATTTGCTAAATCGAAGAGTTGAAGTTGCTGGCGGAGAACTCAAGGTTAGGGAGAGAAAATGAGGACGCGAAGAGAGAGAAAATGAAAGGAAGAGAGAGAGAAAGAAACAAGGTCATTCAAAGTTGAAGAATTACATAAATACCATTACTGACATGAAAAAGGCGGGTAGGATGTCAGCCATTGGATTAAGGACGATCAACACACCATATTAGTTTCTAGTTCCTATTCTATGCTTGGGTTCTCACATGAGTATATATATATATGTATATATATATATGTATGTATATATATATATATATATATATATATATATATATATACATATATATATATATGTATATATATGTATATGTATATATAAGTGTAATTTCAATAAACATAATGAGATAGTTATTTTACAAAACCTTACCAAATATTTATCTATTCCATCCAAATGACTTCGATCAATGTCGGTCCTATTGTTTATCCAATCTATACGTTGAGTAATACCAGGAATAAAATTGAAAACCATCTGAGTATAATGATTATTGTACCAAATGGGAAAGGTTATCTACAAAATAAAAAAACAAAATAAGTTAAACTATTATTTCTTAAAGACCAATATCTGATATAAGTCATCTAATATCTGACTAAAACTTGCTAATTTCTGACTTTTAGATTGTTATGCCTAACTAAATACAATGATACATGAGATGAATTATCTAATACCTGACTAAAGCATGATAATTCTTGACTAATAATATCTAATTCCTGATTATAATAACCTAATTCCTAACTAAATATTGTAATGTTTGATTCTTGACCTATATTATGTCAAACTTCAAAATGTTATATACAAAACTCTAACTCTAAGACTGTTTAACTCCTGAATAAAATATTGTTATGCCTGACAAAAATAAATTAATACCTGACATAAGTAATCTAATATCTGACTATAAAATGTTAATATCTGACTTAGATTTTATAATCCCTTACAAAAATACACCACTTGACTTAGATTGTCAAATTCATGACTAAAACTTACTAATTCTTAATTAATATAATTTAATTCCTAATTATAATAATCATATTTTTGACTTAAATTGTTATGCCTGATAAAATACAACAATACCTGATATGAATTATCTAACATCTGACTAAGGCATAGTAATTCTTGACTAATAATATCTTATTCTTGATCATAATAATCGAATTCCTAACTAAATATTGTAATGTTTGATTCCTGACCTATATTATGTTAAACTTAAAAATGTTAAATCCAAAACTCTAACTCTAAGACTGTTTAGTTCCTAAATAAAGTATTATTATACATGACAAAAATAGATTAATACCTGACTATAAAAACTAGTACCTGAATATAAAAATATATTACCTGACTAAAACAAGAAATAAAGTTAAAAACTTACCAACTCTGCTCGTCATATTGCCTAAAAAAGAGGAAGTCACACATATATATTTCATGCTCACTAAAATTTTTTCAGATACAGAGGCTTATTTTCCTGCAAACTCCTAGAGAGACGAATTTGTCGATTTTGAATTGGAATCTTATCAATAGAGGGATATACCCAATCTGAATCACCAGCTCCTTCAAAATTATCCTGCCATTCCTACTGCTATTTATCTGTTAATATTGCCATCTCTCAACCCTTTTTTTTAGCTTATGAATCAGCATCAATAAAGGTAGTTTCAGGTGGATCATTTGCACCAGTAGAAAATTTGTCTGCATCTAACTGAATGTGTGTTTTAGTAGGCTGAGTTCCTAATTTCATCACCTCATCTTGAAACAAATCAGCGGTAGTAGGAGCAGTAGGAGTTTTATCTATTAGAATTAGGTCAACATTAGGAGTTGTGGGAGATTCTAAAACTGTAGTTGGAACAGATTCCTTTGTAACAGATTCCTTTGCAACATATTTACTTCTCAATAAATCTAAAACTGCAGTTGTATCTCTAGGCTGAGCTTCTTGCAAGAAAAATAAAATGTATTAAAATAAAAAAAAAAAGTAATCTAAATCAAAACAATAATAACCTATAATAGTATAATATGAATCCTGAATTAAAAAATTCTAATTCTTGATAGAAAAATTCTTATTACTGACAAAGGTAATCTAATAGCTGAATGAATAAATCTTGTTCCTGATTAAGAATGCAATACTTTTTACAAAAAAAAAAAAAAGAGTTAATTTTTTATCAAAAAGTTATAAATCCTGACTAAAGTATTCTTATTATAGATAAAAATAATCTAATATTTGACAAGAACAACTTTATTCCTGATTTAAATAATTTACTTCGTAACAAAAATAATTTAATTCCTGCCCAAACTGATATAATACCTGACTAAAATATTCTAATTCCTAATACATTTAATTTAATTTCTAACCCAACTAATCTTATTGCTTTCAGACATATTTTAATTCCTGACAAAAATATTTCAATTGTTAACAAAACTTATATAATAAATGACAAAAATAATATAATTCCTTACAATAACAACCAAATAAATTTATGATAAAATGAATTTTATTCATGACAAAATAAATCTAATTTCTTACCAAAATACTTTAATTCATGAAAAAATAACATAAAAAGTTACCTGATTCACCTCATCATAGATAAATGATGTTCTTTTGTAACTTTAGTCTTAAATACATCACCAGATTTATTAAAAAACCTGAAAACATATGTATAACAGAAATAAAATATATATACATTTATTTATATAAAATATCAAATTTAAATACAATAATTATTTTAATAAATTATTTAAATAAAATACACATATTAGACCTTAGATGTGATGTCATTATCCTTATCATTTTATCTTTCTTTTTCATTAGTTACTGGAACTTCTTCTTCTATAGCTTTTGCATTTTGTTCTTGGTATGGTAGTAAAGATGGTTGAGGAGAAGAAGGAGCAGGAGTAATTAATAGAAACTTTTGCATAGAATCATCTCCCGTGGAAAAACTCTTACCTTCTTGCACAACCCTAGCCTTATTATCATTCAAACTAGCAGAATAAAATTCATTGAGTCCCCTGGCTTTCCTTGGTGTTCTAGGAGGTGATGTTGAAGTTTCTAATGATCTTATAACCAGCTCATGACCAACCATGGCTGTAGAACAAAGAACACCATCCCCATCAACTAAGCTAACCTCATTTCCTGATGGAGCTTGTCAGGTTAAGAATATATAGTAGCAGCTTCTACACCAACTAAAATAGAAACATCATTTCCTTTGTCAATAACAACAGCTTCTACACCAACTCAAACAGCTTAGTTAGTGGGGAGGGTATATCAGTTTCTTCATCTAAATTGAATTCTTTTTCTTTATTTGCATCCTCTAAATTATGACTTTCTGGTATATCTTGAATTATCACTTTCTGGTATATCTTGACTTGGTCTTTCTCCAAATCAAGATCAACAATAACATTGTTCACCAATATAAAATCAACATTAATATAAAAAAAAATCCTAAATTAATTTCAAATATAAAATGATAAAGGTAATTAAACTTACAATTTCATCAAGCTTAAGCTTAAGATTAAAATTATTTAAATCATTAGCTAACTTTTTGCTCTGCATAGCAGCTAACAATACTTCATCAATTATTGCTAAGAACTGAGGATTGGAATATACATCACTTCTCCTTGAGATTGAGATTCTTGTTAAGTTTTTATTGCTTCATCCTTCAAATCAATAGCAAAGTGAATTTGGTTATCTGATACGATCTTCAAGTCACGACCAAATTTCATCATTTTCTTCTTCACGGCATAATAAAAATAGAATAAAGAGTGAATAAGTAAAATTTAATAAGAATCCTACCTACAAGGGAATTACAACACTCTAATTCCTGATAAAAGTAATATAATTTCTAACTAAAACAATATTATTCCTGAATAAGATAAGTTATTTCTTGACTAAAAAAACTCATTCCTGACAAAATTATCACATTCTTAACTAACATTTTGTTATTCCTGATAAAAGTAATCTAATTTCTGACTGAAACAATGTTATTCTTAATTGAGATATAACTTATTTCCTGACTAAAATAATTTCATTCCTTACAAAAATTCTCATATTCCTAACCAAAATTCTCATATTCTTAATAAAAGAAATCTAAATTCTTATTGACACTATTAATGATGATTGAGATAATTTGTTTCCTGATATTAAATTTCTTACTCCTAATAAAACTAAACCAATTTCGAACTGCAATTAATCCTCATTCATATTATATTAATCACTCAATTCCTGACAAAAAAAGTTAGTACATAACAGAAGGTTATACAACATGAATTCTTGAATAAAAAAACTGTACAAAATTAATTAAAAGATGAGATTTTAAACTTACATCAATATCCATTTTATCAATCTCATCATCAGTGGGGTACTCTTTAGGAATCCTGTACATTACATATCTAGCTTTGTCATCTTTGGCTTTCAAATCAATGGTAGCAGATTGAACACCCTGACCTTCCTTATTTTCACCAAAATCTTCATCATCAGTATCTTCAAGTTTAAACTCAATGCTATCTAAATGAAAAGATTTTAGAAGCTCCTGTTCACTTTTCCCAGCATATTGTAATGGTAATGTCTGAGGATACAATTTCACCATACCTTAATTGATATTTTCAGCAATGGCTTTACACCTCTTAATCAAACTTTCACAAGACCAATTTATTACAAATGGCTTCTTATTTAAAGTGGTCCCAAACTCAAACTTTTGCAAAAAAGCAATTACAAAGGCAACCAGACAACCATTTACTTGTTTTGATTTAGTTTTCAATTCTTCTCTTGCCTTCTTCTTCAAAACAAAAGCTTGAAAGTTTGCTATTGAATCACATAACCAATCCATCACATAACCAGCCCAGTTGTAAGTTTTTATGAAATGTACGTACATCTTCCAAAGATTTGATGATGTTAAAATTGGGGGACTTATCACCAATTCGAGCCAAAAAAATTAGATACATCAAACATAACAAAGAGTCTCTTGAATTCATAACCTCCCTCTATATTTCTCAAACAATGTTTGATAAGTAAGAAAATTGGCATATGTCTTCTTCTTCTTACTTTGAATTGCTCTTTTAGATTCCTTCTTCTTACTTTGAAAACCTTTTCAAGATTCATCACCAATTTTCCTCTTCTTTTTTCTTGTTAGTTTCAGAGTCATTTCCTTTTTCCAATGCATCTTCTATATCCAAACACAAAAACTTCCTCCACTCTAACTTCAAAATTTTATCATGATTAAATCCTTTCTTGTTTTTTGAAATCTCTTTCACAGCTAGATCAGTATAAGGAATACCCAAAACATTAGCAATATCAGAACTATCAATATGAATGGCATAGTCCTTTTTACCAACAATCATATTTCTTGCCTTGGGATTATAATGAGTTACTATATAACCGTTCAACTGATGGCTAATATTATCCTTCAAATTCATATGAAGCAATTCACCAAAACCAAAGTCGTCTCTTACATCCTTCTTTTGCTTAACACTTAAATCTTCCAAAATTTGACAAAGATGATTAGAACTAGATTTATTACCAAGGTTTAAGTATGAAATATCATCTTCAGTAAGAGAACTGAAAAATTGAAAAGTAAAAATCACATTAAAATTGAGATATTTATAAAACATTCTTACTCATGATAATAATTATGTTATTCTTGAAAATATTAATCTTATTTTTGAGCGTCAATATCTTTTTCCTGACAAAAATAAACTCAATTCTGATCAAAATAATCTTATTCTTGAAGAAAAAATTATTATTCCTAACTAATGTAATGTGATCACATATATCTCTTATTACTAATAAAAGTAATCTTATTTCGGATTGAAGCAATATTATTCCTTACTGACGTAATTTAAATACTGACAAAAAGAAATTAATTTCTGACTAAAAAAAACTAAATCCTGACAAACATAAATTATTATCAAAAATAAAATAATCAAATTCAAGACAAGCTAATTCGCATATATATGATTTATCACAAAATAATAAGGTAATTTCTGATAGAAAAAATTTAATTCCTGACAAAGTAATTGTAAATCCTGACGAAAATAATCTATTATCAAGTTACAATATATTAACTAGATATGGTATGTTTCACAAGATAAAAGATTCTATATAAAACAACAAGTACATAATTCTATGTCTTTTTGCGAATTAAATAGAATAGAATTTCACACCTAATAGGTTAACTAAAGAAAGTGTGTCCTCGACTTTAGTGCAATTACTTAATATAATTATGGATCGTATTATGGAGATAGTAATTCGTTTATTTGGGTCGTTTATACGTCTTTCTAGAGAATTCTATATAACTTTAATTTGGGTTAGTAAGTAACAAACCCGAAGCCCGCCTAAACGAATCCTACAAGGTCACACATTAGGATTGGATCAATAAAGAAACCCGAAGCCCAAAGTTGGCCT